ATGTATTGGTCCTCCATGAACAGATTCTTATTGAAAGACTTTTCGTGCAGAATCTTTATTCATGGAAAGGAGAAAACAGAGGCAAATCCAGCAATGAAGTCTTTGAACCTTCAGTATCCATATATCCTGTGGAATATATGATAGGTAGAGCATACATGCATAAATAAATTAAAAAGGGCCACCTAAAATATTTTAATGGTTCCCATAATTTAATAATTCTTTCCCAAAATTTAATAACTCTTTCCCACAATTTAATAATTTGTTCCCACAATTTATTCAATTCATTCTCACAATTTTAATAATAAGTTCCAGCTGTCAGTGACAGCTAGTTCATCCAACCCCATTCTTAGGCTCTAATCTTAGGCTCTAAATATATAAATTAATTAATAATTAAATAAATAAATAAATAAATAACAGACTTGGTCCCATACTTGAAAAACAAAAACTGCTGCATGCATGTTTATTTATGTTTTGCAAAGTTGATTACCCTGAATTCAACAACCATGTTAGTTGCTGCATATTTTAGGGCATGGCTGGTTGCTTTGCAATACTTCCCAAATTTTTTCATGGCAAGTGCGATGTACTAATATAGCCAGTCTTGTGTTGTAGGTGGCATAGGTCTATTACGAGCGACATCAAATTCCTTGTGAATTTTCAAAATTGTGCAGTTTCATTTACAAGTGTTACATTGCTTTCTCGTGTGATACTGGTCTTGTAATGGTCCTCCATGAACAGATGCTTATTGAAAGACTTTTCGTGCAGAATCTTTATTCATTGAAAGGAGAAAACAGGCAAATCCAGCAATGAAATCTTTGTACCTTCAGTATCCATATATCCTGTGGAATATATGATAGGTAGAGCATGCATGCATAAATAAATTAAAAAGGGTCACCTAAAATATTTTAATGGTTCCCATTATTTAATAATTCTTTCCGAAAATTTAATAACTCTTTTCCACAATTTAATAATTTGTTCCCACAATTTATTCAATTCATTCTCACAATTTTAATAATAAAAGTTCCCGCTGTCATTGACAGTTCATCCAACCCCATCCTTAGGCTCTAATCTTAGGTTCTAATACAAGCTGGGCATTTTGTACTGTTCGGCTTGCACTCTCAACAACATCAGCAGCACTGTGTCTCAGCTCCTGACAGCAGTGTCTCAGCGCTGTACCCCGCAGCCTACACCAATAGCGGTCTCCAGGCAGTGGTTTTCTTACCAACCCTCTTATAGCTATGTGCCTGGCAGCCCAGGATGACAGCCATCTTCCCAGCATTGGTTCTCTTACTGGCCCTCATCTCAGCAGTGTACCCAAAAGCCCACGACAAGAGCTGCCTTCCAGGCAGTGGTTCTCTCATCGGCCCCCGAAGACAGCAGTCCTCCCAATGGTGGTCCTCTCACTGGCCCTCATCTCAGTGGTATGCCCAGCAGCCCACGACAACAGTGGTTTTCCTAGCAGCGGTTCTCTCACCAGCCCTCATCTCACTGATACACTCGGCAGCCCAGAACAACTGCGGTCTCCCAGCAGCTGTTCTCTCACCAGCCCTTGCCTCAGTGGTGTCCCAAGCAGCCCACCCTGACAGCGGTCTTCCAGGCATCAGTTCTCTCACTAGCTCTCTCATCAGTGTACTTGGTAGCCCACAATAACAGCGGCCTTGCAGGCAGTGGTTCTCTCTCTGGCCCTCGTCTCGGCGGTGCACCCAGCAGCCCAGGAAGACAGCAGTCCTCCCAACATTTGTTCTCTCACCAGTCCTCATCTCAGTGGTGTACCTGGCAACCCACGAGAACAGCAGTCCCTGACAGCTGTTCTCTTACCAGCCCTTGTGTCAACAGTATACCTGGTGGCCCACAACGATAGTGGTCTCCCCGGCAGCAGTTGTCTCACCAGCCCTCATCTGAGTGGTGCACCCTGTAGCCCACGACCACAACTGTCTTCCCGGCAGAGGTGTTCTCACTGGCATCATCTCAGCTGTGTACCCAGCAGCCCACAACGACAACAGTCTTCCTGACAGCGGTTCTGTCTCTGGCCCTCGTCTCAGCCTTATACCAGGTAGCCCACAATGACAGTGGTCCTCCCAGCAGCAGTTTTTGCACCGGCTCTCGTCTCGGCAACCCACGATGACAGCAGTGTCAGCGTTAACCAGGCAGCCCACGACGACAGCTGTCTTTCTGGCAGTGGTTCTCTCACTGGCATCATCTCAGCGGTGTACAAAGCAGCCCACAATGACAAGGGTTCTTTCTCCAGCCTTTGTCTCAGCCTTGCAACAGGCAGCCCACAACGACAGTGGTCTCTTTCACTAGCCCTCATCTTAGCAGTTTACCAGGCAGCCCAAGATCTTACACCGGCCCTCATCTCAGCAACCCACGATGACAGCTGTCTCCCCAACAGCAGTTCTCTCACCAGCCCCAATCTCAGTTGTGTACCTGGCAGCCTACCACGTCAGCAGTTTTCACGACAGCAGTTCTATCACCAGCCCTTGTCTCAGCCCTTTACCAGGCAGCCCACGAAACAGTGGTCTTCCCAGCAGTGGTTCTTTCACCTGCCCTCATCTTAGCAGTTTACCAGGCAACCCAAGATGACAGCGATCCTCCTGGCAGTGGTTCTTACACCAGCCCTTGTCTCAGCAACCCATGCCAACATGACAGCAGTGTCCCCAACAGCAGTGGTCTCACTGGCCCCAATCTCAGTTGTGTACCTGGCAGCCCACCACGACAGCAGTTTTCTTGACAGCAGTTCTTTCACCAGCCCTTGTCTCAGCAGTTTACCAGGCAGCCCACAATGATAGCGGTCCTCCTGGCAGTGGTTCTTACACCCGCCCTCGTCTTGGCAACCCATGATGACAGCCGTCTCAGCAGTTTACCGGGCAGCCCACAACGACAGCTGTCTTCCCAGCAATGGTTCTTTCACATGCCCTCGCCTCAGTCAAGTACCCTACAACCCACGGTGTGGTTCTCTCAGTGGCTCTCATCTCAGAGGTTAACCCCGCAGCCCATGATGATAGCATTCTTCTGGACAGGGGTTCCATCAGCGGCCCTCGTCTCAGCAGGGTACCCAGCAGCCCACAATAACATGGTCTTCTTGGCAGTGGTTCTCTCATCGACCCTTTCTTAGCAGTTTTCCCAGCAGCCCTAGACCGTCTCAGCATCATTGGTTTTCTCAGCCCTCTTCTCAGTGGTATTCCCTGCAGTGGTCTACCTGGCAACCGTCAGCAATGGCAATCTCAACAGTACTGTTTTATTTTAATCAGATTTTGTATAATTTTTTTCGCTACATTAAATTTATAATTTTTATATTTATTTTGTTCTTGTTGTTTTTTATCTTTGATCAGCCCGCAACACCCACAATTTCAATAATTTGTTCCCTAATTTAAATAGCTCATTCCCACAATTTTATAATTCCTCATTGAACAGTGATACTGTCACAATCAGCTTACGCAAAAGCTCAAGAACGGAAGAGTTAGTTGAACTATGTAGTGACAGAGGATCCAGGTTATGCGAGACATACCTGTGAATGTGACATAAATTGGGGAAGAAGAAGGGGCAACGAAGGGCCTTAGGAAAGACCTCTACACAAATTTTTGCCTACAGGATGCCACAGCAATGATAATGCAGACAGACCACAAATTTGCCAGGCGCAGATTGGCTGTAAATTTGACCGTCTTCCCAGATATGAATGGTTGGTTTGTGTACATGTTGTTTGCTGGAGAAGGGGTGATAAGATACGTACAGCATGTGGAATACCATTAATATGCTGCAGTAAATGGGAAATATTTAAGTTCAATACTGGTTTGATATTTGAAAAACAACAAATGTGAATGTCCAGAAAAACATATTTTGCTATAAATAAATGGTCTAGAACATGCTTTGTATTCAATCAGGTGATATGCTTTCTTCTTTTGGTTTTGGTTTTATCTCATTATATGAAGGCACCCGCACGCTTTCCAGCTGTTTCTGTAAAGAAGCAGTAATGATGTGTGTTATATCTTATATTAAAAATACCTTCAAGCTACATTTTTTCTTTAACAAAAACTAATGTAAAATATACTGGTATTTGTTTCACACATGAAGTCATTGAGATGCAGGCTAAATGATCAATTTGATATTTGTAGAGATATGAAAAATAAAATCATACAATTTATCTATTTTTATCTTGTACGATGTGCATCCATTAATATAAATGATATCAATTATATATGCACATACATTTACTACTGATAAAAAACCTTAAATTCATATATTATTAGTAGATTTTGTCAATTTTGTGAAATAAGACTTTTTTCTGGACACTTTCTGATACTTTCATGTGTAACTGAAATGAAGAGAAACCTTAGGGGCGCAATAAAAGGAGAACATGACTGGGCAGGAGCAGTTAGAGAAATTCTCTGTCTGTCTATATTTACTGGCAGGTACAAATACAGAGATAAATCTGGGTATGAAGGAAGCATGGAAATAGATGCATGACAGCAGTAAGGTATTCTGTGCAGCCTCCTGGCCAGTAACAATTTCCTAATCAGAAATTTTGCAAAGTGCAGTTCACGCTGAAAAGTAGGTCAAAAGTCAAACTGAAGGTCATAGTAAAGTTGCCAGTAGATGACTTCCTATTCAAGTTCAATAGTAACTATGAAAAATACTTTTTAACATTTGTGGGAAAACAGTCTCCAAAATATGATCCTTCCCCTCAAAAAACACATTACTTTTGTACATATAATTTGATCTTACAGATATTTGAAAAGAACTTGCTTTTTGTCACTAAACTAAGCCATTCAGCAAATTATACAGTAAAACAAAAAATATGGTTAGACTGTTACAGGGACAAGTGTGTCGGACAGCAGCAGCAATGACAAGGAGAGACCCATAATCAGATTACATACAGGCATGTATAGTGCCAGTATATAAATATTTCAAGATGAAATTCACTTTTTTTTAGATTTTAATTCACATATAGCCCTTGGGCATTATCAAAATACTGTATACATTTTGTTCTTGCATAGGCTTAGTTATACTAGTAGCACCATTTTTCAGTATCTTACAGGCATACAATGATTGCTTAACTTTTATATGATTCTGTTGTAATTCTAAAAACCCAGCTTTTTTTACAGCAAACTAGCCTTAGAGACTCCTGTGCATGATTTCCCTCATAGCACCTTGCTGTAAGTTAATCAGGATATACTAATAATAGTTCTTAAACAGTATCACGCAAATTACAATATTATCACAAATTTAAAGTCTTATTATGCAAAAAAAAAAAAAAAAAAAAAAAAACCTCTGAACAACTAAAAATGCCTGTTCTCATCAATATTTCAATTTTACCTCAGAATGTCAACAAACTGCATGAATTCTGCAAATTAATTCAAATGTCAATCTACAGGAATTGCATTCTTTTGTGGGTAGAATTGTCTTGCTATAACAATTCAAAAATTGTCTGTTGAGCACATAATCAGCATGATCTAAAAATCTCCCTGCCAATCATGCTTTGAACACTTTGCATTCTCGGAGATCCAGCTTCACAGAAGTTGGCAATGTGTCTGAAATAAAGAAGCACTGTAAATTGCTTGAAATTCTTCACTAAGGATCATCAGTATTCTACAAGGTCATCTCTAATATTTCATTTTTAAAAAATATTATGATAATGATTTTGAAAGATGTTCTTTAACAATAAGATATATCATACCTGAATATGAACATCTTGCCCATTCATCATACTGCTGCATTTTTACAATTTCAGATAAATACTGAAAAAAAGTGCAAATTCATGACAGAGGTATGAGAATTTTCTTTGAGGAGACACACATTTGTTTCTAACGAAGAAATTGAGATAAATAACAGTTATCAGAGTTTATTTATTTCAGCATTGAGTTATATGAGTTTTTCATGCATACATCTCATATTTATGACAAAAATGAGACATATCAGCTTTTTACAAAACAGCAATCATCTATAAAAGGCTAGGAAAACACAATAATCCATTTAGCCTTTCTATAAGTCACCTACCTCAATGACTGGTACATCTCCAGGATGAACACTCAATCTTGTATCACAGAACTCCGTGGACTTCATGTTGTATACATTGGCCCTTTCTAAAGGATGAGCACTGCAAAGAGAAAAGCCACATCACATCTCAGTCACATCTCAGTCACAGGTAAAGCAATGGAAAAGATAATGAAAACAATGCTTATCATGACCAGGAATGGTATCTTAATCAAAATAATTTGTATCACAAAAATTAGGGTTTCATATTCAATCTAGATTACATGTATTTATTTTTTCTACCATTTAATGATATTCATAAATGCTACCATGTTGGTAGGAAAGATCTAATAAGAAAGTACTACACTCACAAATCATTGTCTTGGAAACTACTGGGTTCTTTCTGGCAAAAGCAATGATAGTAAATAAATGCTCTGGTGGCTAGCTCCAGAAGTTCACTGTAAATTGAGCAAAATGAAAGAAGACACAGTAATATTACTCTTGTAACTGGGAAGTTAGATAAAAGGGAATATGATCATGGTGAAGCCTATGAACTTCATTGTAATCTTTTCACCAGTAAAGAAAGTGTTGGTATGACAAGATGTTTTATGCTTGTATTGTGCACATCATACATTTAAGTCCTCTGATATTATTATTGAAAAGTAATTATTTTGAATGGACAAAAACATGTTACAAAATAATAATAATAATAATAATAATAAAAATAAAAATAACCAAATAAAATAAATAATAAAATAATATAAATAAATTCTCACCAGTGGACAAATGGAATGTAAGTGTCTTCTGTTTTGAATATCTTTCTCTGTTTGTATATATCTTTAATAATGTGTCCCTTAAAAACAAAGTTACTATTACTGACCTTGTATTCTACATTCATAAAATGTTGAAACATCATACACAAAATAATTATGACTATTAATTAATCTCATGTTTCCTATCAACTTTTTTTTAGATGTTTTTCTTTAATAATAGTAATTAAATTACTGGCATAAACATTCCACTGAAGTATTTTTCATACTTTTTCAGTTTGTCCAATACTCAAACACATTTGATAGATCAATGATTTTTTTTTTTGGCAAGTGAGAAATCCATTGCCATATCTTGAACATCTGTGTGTGTGATCTTGATCTTTAAGTTATAATTATTTTATTAGGTTGTCAACCACCATGATGTCAAGTACAAATCATTCTATAGAGCTGAACAAAAAAAGAGCTACACATGTTGGTATTAAAATGACAAGGTTGATTTTTGTGACAAATAACTTGCCTGATTTCCCTTTACAACTAATCAACACAGAACACATGAAAAGAGACATTTTTAATTAATTTTAAAGCAGGACTTACTTTATAAGCTGGAGCAGTCAGCATTTTTCTTTCAATATCCAGAACAGAGACATAGTTCTGAAAAGTCAAAAACTATATATTTTCTTTCTACCAACCAAAGAATCTGATTAAAATGACATATCATGCACACTTGTAATTTTCTTTGATTTTTATTATGATTGGGTAGGCACTTTTTTATTTTGGAGTGGGGCTGAGTGCCTGAAAAGAGTTTATGTCAGGCCCTGAGCACATGCATACATTTGTACAATTGCATGTTCACAACAGAGGCACCACATTATTCAGAACTGCAACAAAGTAGCAATTGTGACAAGGCCCATATTTTCAGTTTTTCCTCTTTTTATAATTCCTTTAGTACGGTCCCCAACAATGCACAAATGCAAGTGCCTGCACACAGAAGCAATATAACTGTATTCCTACCCTAACAGAACTTGGCACTAAAGGACTGCTTGTTCTTCGTTCAGGGCGGCACATTCCAAGTAGTTTGAAGTGAGCTAAGTCAACCATCTTGATTTGTTTTGGTTTGCTCAAACATGGCACTACAGCATGATTTGGACTGAAATGTTAAATAATGCAAATGAAAACAATCTGATGTGTCTAAAAGTGTATTATTTTTGCAATTAGAAACAGCAAATACTCTGATATGTAAACACGTTCTTCAAAGATTTTGAATTATCTTAGTCATGATACTAATTTCATTATTTAAGAAGTACCTTGAACTGTCACTTCAATATTTAATACTCAAATATCATTTTATCATATAGTATGTTGAACCTTTCATTTACCAGTACATTGGTATTAGAGTATTGGCACATGTGTTTTTTTTTTTTTTGTGCTGCATATACATGTAGTTAAGAATTTTTTTCTGAAAATCTTTAAAAACTTGGTGAATTGGACCGAGTAATTAATCTATGCCACATACATTGTATGACCTGGTAAAAACAACCACAGTGCAGTGACAATGGCTGTTACAGCTTTTTCATCTTTGGCACCACCAAGCACAACAAGAGGGCGTCCTGTCAGCAAAGTTGCCAGGATTTCTGGGCTGCAGCGATATTCTTGGAAAACTTTCAGAATACCATGACCTGTATCAGAAAAAAAGCAAACAGTTTTTACATTTTTACTTTCAAAATTTATATATCATAAAGAGTTACTGAATTAGCTCTTATGGTCTGGAAATTTGGCATAAAATTTGACCTTGACATTTCACCTGACCAGTATTCCAGTGCAACAAATCTTGTTATAAGTACTTAATATTACATTGGTTGACTCTCCCCCTCTCCTCTAACTTCTAATTACCTTCAATTCAGATAACATCTCAGCAAAAATGACAAGTAATCAATGCTACATTTATTCTTAAAATCATTATAAAATATGCAGGTCACACAATAAATATAACTGAGTAGATGCTCTTCACACTTAAATCAATTTAACATAAATCAATAACTTACATCACATTGATTACAAGTCATAGAATATTGTGATTAGTAAAGAAAAAAAGGCATTTTCACACTCATGTTTTTTTATAATAAATATATAAAAAACACAAGAATGTTTGAATGTATGACAAAGAAACATAACAATTATGCCTGCAAAAATGAAGTTGTTCTCATTTCTGGCTGACTAAATTAATAATGTCTGCAATATGCTGACACATTTGTGATGACACCACTGCATGATAATCAACTTACCTATAGATGAGGAATTCAGACTGAATATGTGGTCAGCTGCACTTATCACAGCAACTTTTCGACTTCTATAATACAAAATAAAAATATTTTGGTCAGTGATAAGGTGAGTATGGATATATCTAATAATACTGAACAATGAGAAATAATCCACAACTATTTGTGAAAATTTTTCCATGCAAGTGAGACTAGTTATACATACATGTTAAACTGTTTTTCATTATAACTGTAGCCTAGCCAAAAATCTTAACATATGGGGGTAGGGGTGGTGGCAGAGGCGAGGATATACTTAACTGGAATCTAACATCATCGCGCGAAACTCTGGCACACAAATTTCCAAATACTATCAAAATGGGCTTGAAAGACAAATCAAAATATCTAAATAACTCTTAAGACAGCCAAGAATTTTTTTTTCAGAAACTAATAAAAATAATAGGTGCAATTAAGAATTGGAAGAAGAAAGGAAAGAAAGCTGACAAATTGAATCTGCAAGACCAAGAGTAATGTGGGTGGAAGAAAACCATGATTATAATCAGTGGGAAAGGGAAATATCACAGTCTGTAGCAGGGGGTGCAGTATACTTACATGTTAGATTCTAGGTCTGTGGGTGAGGATGATATGAGGTCATCACTGGTACAATTACTGTCCATGGATACTGCAAAATAACCATTATAACAATGTCATCTTGGCATTTTGTTTTATGAAAAGTTTTATAAAATGAAAAGAGTGCAACTAAGCACTTCCAATTTTTTCCAATTTAGACAAATTGACATGATTTTAATTATTTCTCATGGTAAGCTAACTTTATTGTGCTACATCTTTTTCAAATCACTGTGTAATAATTTTCAAAGAATTTCTACTTTTATGGCTAATCAGAAGGGGACCTTACTTAAAATAGCCCCTCACACACACCAATATCTTTTGACAAAATATACTAACTAGCTCTGTCATAGAAGGATCTCCTTGTAGTATACAAATCTTGGTCAACATCTGTGCCAAAACTGATATCTGTAGCAGTCGTAAAACTACGCTCACTGCTTGTTCCAGCACTACTTCCTGTCAAATATCTCTCTGAAATAACAAATAATGAATAGAAGACAAACCAACAGTGAACATTTAGTAATTGCTTACCATGTGCTGCCTTATAAGCTTAATGCATAAAACTATCCAGGGGATTGCTACACCACAAATTTATCACCAAGTCTTGGCAAAATGCTGAAAATTGCATACAGTATCTACATTTATGGTCGTATGGAAATAACAATGCTCCCTCAGAAAAAAAAAAAACAAAAAAGAAATTTCTTTTTGATAATATCCTATCCTACTTGCCCTAATTGACATACCTCGTGCTTTGGGTGGTTCATAAACATCTCCTTCTTTATAGTTAATGACAAAGTAATCATCTGCTTCACTTATGCTGTATCTGTTTCTTGGACTGTGTCTGAAAATTGTCCAATGGCATATATCAACCCTTTACCTTCCAAAGCTTTAATTTTATGTGGAACTTTCAACATTTTAAATCTATACCTGTGTTAGTATTTTGAACAAATGGTAAAAGTTCAATATACAGAAACAAGGGTAGGATACATATTTAACTTGTTTCTTTAAATCAATGGAAAAAGAACATTTTTGCATTGTTTCATATGGTTCCTGTATAATTTCTTTCTAAAAACAAAATAATGGTTGATGACAACTTACTCATCACAATGAGAAGAATTGGCATAAATAAATGCAACCTCTGCTGCACTGGAAACACCAGAATGGACAGACTCTCTGTCATCTTGGATGGAGTAGAAGGATTCACTGGAATTAAAACTGCCCAACGTGTCTTCCTGGAATTAATATCAAATCAGTCACAAATCCTCTTCACAGTTTGAGGTTATGAAGTGAAACTGAAACACATGATATACTAATATTTTTTTCTTCTAAAAGTCACCGTTAGATAATTATTAAGGGAAATGAAAATGAAAAAGAAATCAGTCTTTCATCCAAAAATGTTTCCCCAATATGTAACTATTTTTGCAAATTAAAAATCTTTTCATAGATAAAATTATAATTATGATGAAAACAATAATTTATGTGACAACATGCAAAATGGACATATACTGATAAAAAATTATATATATATATATATATATGGATTGTTTGTTTCTTAAGCAAATCATTTGCAAACTAGATTGAAAATATCACATACAAATCAATTTCGACCTAAAAAGAGCAATAAAACATGCCATTCATACTTTAATTTTTATTTCATCTTCTCCACAGACACTTACAGAAAGCCTTCTACGAAGAAGGTTGTTGGAAGGTAAGGACATTCCGTATCCTCCATCTGCAAGCCTGTAAACCAAACACTGATACAGAGTCAACATGTTGCATTCCAAAAGAAAAGAAACTAAGACGGCTTTAGGTCTGCTAGTATAAGCCCTGGTCTGCAAAATTTCTAAAGAAGTTCTCTGGTGGTACTAAATTAAGTAACAAGTCTTTGTTAACCTCCATTTTGTGCATTCTGAACTGTTTCCTAAAGATAGTTTATACATACAAATTAAGAAAATAGGGCCCAAAAATGTCTTATCTCAATCGGTATGTGCACCGAGTTACATGTTAATGTACGTGTTTCAGACCCAAGCTGTTCCTAGTTTACATGTCCCACAATAAAGAAAAAGACAAAAAAGACATACTACAGCTAATAACAAGAAGACCGTCTTAAAATATTTGTCTAGGAAATGCAAATGACACATTGAAATCCTACAAATCAAGCTCGCAACATCATAACAGACTTTTCAAGCACACACTTAAATGTCCTGGCAATACATTGCTTACTAGGTAATGGCATTCATGAAATAATAAGTTTGCTATTTACTTAAATGATTTATATGATGCATGTAAACACATAAAGGCAGCTATGAAGCTTAAAGGTATACTGTGATGAAAAAACGGGTTAAAACTATCCATTAGGTGCCCAAAAGTCATTTTTGAGTAATGAAAAAAAGTTCTTACGTTTATTTAGCTTTTAAAGCCGATTTTATGCAGGTGTGAATGTAGTTTATGATACTCCCGCGTGGTGGCGCTTTGAGGCGAGTGACGTCACTAGCGTCGAGGCTCAGAAAGCCATATTCGATTCAGCTATCCGCTTGCTAGCAGTGCAAACTAAAAGCGATACACGCAATTGATCACTACATGATCATTTATAAATTCAAACTTTTGAAGATAGATACACAAAAGAAGATGAATTCCCTACGTGGTTATCATTTATTAACCAACAAAATACACCAATACTATGTTAACAGTAAAGGTTTGGAAGCAGGGCAGCGAACATAGTTTTTCACACATTGCCCATCTGTCGCGTCGGCTGAACGTTCTTATCCCGACTGATAAGAAAAAGTTACCTAATACATGCAGGTGTGACAGCTAACGTTATTTTTCACACCCGTGCAGTTTACCAGTGTCATTCCGGGAGAACCAGGTCAGTGGACAAAAGACCAAAGATATCGGACTGATAGCATCGGACACTACATTTCACACCTCTGCAACTTAATTTTACCTCGCTACTTCTGCCTTACACGTGATCAGTGCAGCAGTATGCCGAGTAAAAATTTGATTCCACTATCATGTTAATATTAAAGTTTTCACTAACATAACCAAAAAATTGACAACGTAATTCTGCTACGAACTATTTTTGGGCTCTAGAAGCTGCTCTCTTCTTCCTTTCAACGGCCGCATCATGCACACATCCTACAGGTAAGACTCTCGTCGGCAGCGCTCTGGCATTTACTGTCGCATTTTGGTACTCCGAAAAATTCGAATATACTGGGTACAGCATCATCTTTAAGTTTTCTCTGTGCTTTTCCACCGCACAATTCAGCACGCAGGTCACGTACGAAGCATTCCGGCTCGAAGTGGTCGCTACAGATCCTCGCGTGTTTTGACACTGTGCTGGGGTTCAGAGAATTGAGCCAAATTTTACGTTTTGCGGCATCCGCAGGCAGGATATAATAGCAGATGTCTTTCTTATTGTAACCTACATTACGGCACCCGGGAGCAACACAACTTTGCGGCATTTGTTTTTCTGACACCTGGATGTTTAGTCGCCTACTGCATAGTATATACTATTACTAGTACAGCTGTGGGAAGCTACTCCCCGGGTTACGTCACTAGAAACTGACCAATCAGAATTTTCTCATCTAAATCTCATCTTTTCTCTCTAAAACTTAAAAAGAACATTTTTTTGACGTCGATTTATAGTTTTTATACTATAAAAAAAGCAATGAACGCCCTGTGTTCCTAGAGCACAGTAGGCCTTTAACACCCCATTTCCATAGATAAGATCGACCTACTTTAGATCGACCTAACTCCCTGGGGGTTCACGCTAAATAGCTGTCAGCCAGGCGGACACGAAAGTTAATTACCCCCTTACAGCTTGTAGTAGGCGGGACGGACATTTAAGTCGGATTATCTGAAAGTAATCTAGTGAGACTCCCCACGGGGATAGATCGATCTAAAATCTATGGGAATAGAGCCTAAGATAAATCATATAATCAAACAACCCCCTTCCCCTGAATACAAATGAGCAAAAAAAAAAACAAAAAAAAACAAAACATTGAATAAGTGTGAATGTCCACAAGAATTCACCTTCCTGAATGCTGCATAAAGTTTAATGTCACACATCTTCCTATGGTGAGGAGGCCAGCGGCAGGATCTGGAATAATGGTAAGACAGTAGTCACAAAATTATTTGAACAGAACATGAGTTTCAACTTTAAATTCTTGACATGTTATTGAACATGTCAGCTTGGGTTTGCCTGCTTATGTAGGTACATGTAAATGCATGTCATACCTGCCTCCTTGGTTTCTACATGGAGTACTGTTAAGATAACTTGCCACAATAAAACTGAAGATGACAGTATTGAAAATATAATCAACCATGGCCTTATCATTAAAAAGGGACAATATGATTGAAACATGTAAGGGTATGTGGGTCATTTAGGGGTATATCATACCTATCAGTGTTCCCTCCTCCTTTTCTATTTGCAGGGTGGCCAGATCTCTGCTAAAGTACTACAAATAACGCACTGTTATATATTTCTTAGTTAGCATTAGAAGACATACACAATATAAAACATTCCTTTGTTCCTTTCATACAAGTTTTTCTTTATTAAATATTTGTTATATATGACCTAGTCCTGTTAATATCTTTTAATACTAAATGCTTATATACTAGAGTTTGTTATAAACTGAGAACTTAAACCTTGATGGTCATGAACAGAAAGCACTGGGAAATGTTATTGCTTTGGCATGCATATCTTAATACTGTGCAAAAAGAGAAGTAAGGATAATCAGAGTTTTACATTATGAAGCTAGTGTGGTGGTTTCTTACCCTCTGAATACACCGTAGCCTGCGAAGAGCATTATGTGACCCCCAAGGACAAAGCTCATGCAAGTTTCGCAGCAGTTTGTCAAATTTTTTCCTGAAGAAAGCACTTGAAAGAATCTGCGGCTAAAAAGAAACTGTCACATTATAAAATCAACTGTCTTAACACAGCAGGGATTGGGCTAAAGCTTTTCTGCAGTCACAATGAATGTTATGCTTAAGATAAAATGATACATTTTTATTCCTTAAAATTGTTACGTGAAAGCTGAAACTGCTGAAATATTTGAAAATCCAAAATATATTAAAATTATCATTACCTGATATTCTCTGGTCTCATCAAACAGACGACAGGGCTTGTAATCACTATAAAGACTGTAGACTGAAGCTAAAAATATATTTTGAAAGGTAAAGGTCAAAAAGAAAAAAAAATATGTCAAACAAAATGATTATAAAAAAATAAACCTTGAAACAGATCTACTAAGCTGGTAATTATTTGACTTTCTCTTGGTTGTCTCACATCTGCATTATCATTTCCAAATAATACAAACAGAAAGTTGTGAAAAATAAATATTGAGAGATCTCTATCCTATTAGCATAAATTATTTTTAATACTGTTGCACATACATAGAAATATTTAATAAACCTTTTCTTCTGGGTGTTTCTTTGATACAGTTAACATCCTCTTTCTTTTCCTCTGTGTTGATCTCTTCCTGTACAATTTCTTCTTCTCTCTCATGCTCTTCCTCAAAATCCATAGATCTTGACATAAAAAAACGGTCTTCTGCCTGTTTGAGTTTTAGTTCCATTTTCTTATCAGTCTGTTAAAAAAAAGCTCAATTTTGTTAATCTTTATAGTACTGTGAGTTAAACAGAAAATGGCATGCTATGATTCTTGTTGCCACTGACGGTAGTTTCGTTGATTATAGGGAGTGATTAAATAGGGAAAGGATCAAAACTTCTATATTTCCTTTAAATTCAATGAAACAGAAAGACAAAAAAAAAAAAAACTTGAATACTCAGCTACATACCAGCAGTGGCATGATAACCTTCTCAATATGCTTGGCCTCAGCAATCATACTCTCAACTTGAGTAATTGTCAGTTCCTTGTGAAGAGAATTTTATCATATGATCTTGATAATATTTCTAAATTCATCAAACGGTTTATTTTGAAAAACAAACATTTGTTTTTTTCTTGTACACAGACATAATAAGCATGGTGCAGTTCTATCAGCAAATAATTAATTATATAAACAACTCTACAGGGGAATATTACACTTTCAAATTATAACAAATATTAGAAAATTTTGTATTTCAATTGTTGCAATTCACCCTCACTTTAAAAATTGAGACTTTGTTCTAAAAAAACTCACTGATAAAACATCATTTTCATCTGTTGAGTCAGATTCATTGGGTTTTGGAGGTTCCCCTTCTAATTTTTGCAGACATTCTGAAAAATATTGATAAGAACAAGACATTTTATAACACACTGGTTACAAAAATGAAAAGACCCTGCCTTTTAGATGATAAGCTTTACAAATTATATTGCATGAAAAATGAAATTTAGAATAAATAAACTTTGCTAAACAATATCACAGACAAAAAAGATTTGATAAAAATCTGGCTCAACCCAACAGCTTACCTACATTGTACATTTCAAACTAAAATCTATAACATAATGAGGACCATCTGACTAAGGCCATGAATGTAAAATAATTGCTGCTTTTTCAGTGTATTTGAAATATTCTTTTTCAGGGGCAGATCCAAAAATATTTTTAGCAGGCTTCCAAATTATCTTTGTTGATCAATCCTCCATTGTTGATTGTCTTTCGACAGAAAAAATAAGATACCCATCAATGTAAACTTGAAAATCTGACTGCCTTCCAGAAGACCCAGACTCAATCTGCCCCTGTTTTTAATAATATTCTCTTGTGACAACACTGTTAATATTGATACCTTAAAACACTACAGATACCTTTATGTACTGGAATGATTGATCTATTGTCCTTAGTACAAATGTTGTTCTTTAGTCTGACAAGCTTTTTTTTCATATTTTTTATTCAACAAAATATTACAGTGGACTTTATCTTACCTTTTGTGTGTTCCAAATTTTTTATATGATGTTTGATGTCTTTCAAGAACAGAAGTTTATTTGCATAGGAGAAACATTTTGAGACCTAGAATTAAATGAACAAGATCATAATCATCATTTATCAATAACAAATTGAATTCAATTCATACAAGCAGATATTTTAATATCTGCATATATCATTTTAGTTATTTAAAAATAACTAAAATGATACCCTCCAGACCTACTTAATTTAGATTAACTAATACATAATGGCCATACCTTGCTAAATTCATTCAGCATGTCTTCATAGGCACTCAACATTTTACTGAAAAGTAATAAAGAGCATTTAAATAAACATATTAGTGAAAATAAACACTATATATAAATTAAAGACATATAAATATTAAAGTTAAAAATGGGCTAGCTATTATGATTTTCAGAATCGCAATGGTAACCTTTTTTTCTAGAAACACACTGATACATGCCATAACACTTCATATTTCAATTATCAAAAACAAAAAGTAACATTTACTTACAATAAACAGGCTAAAAGTCACAACAAAATTTCAATATAAAACACCTTTTAAACAAATATAGCCATGTCCTCATCTGTGAATTTTACCTTATACGTAGCCCTAAAATGTTGGTTAATACAAAGCATCTTACTTTTCATCTGCTGTTACATAAGCCATGCAGAAAGGTCGCACAAACCCACGCGCATGTATATCGTAGAGTGTGAAGTGGTGCACCTACAAACAATGTATACTTGATTGCATTTCATCAAACTGACCAATAATCAGGGACAAATATGGTAAAAATAAAGACACACTCTTTCCACACACACACACACACACACACACACACACACACACACACACACACACACACACACACACACACACACACACACACACACACACACACAGATAAATACCAACATTCAATGAGTTGCACATATTACAATTTACTAAGTTGTCAAGTATTATTTTCCCTTTAGACAAGGCTACAATGATGGACACCATACCAGTGAGACAGTGATTAATATTTTCACATGACAATAACATAAACTGACAATGCAAACTTTACTCCTTTAAGATGTCAACAAATCAATGTGTAATATGTTTGAAAAAAAAAGTTGAACAGCCTTTTGAGAAATATTAAGAAGATGAAATCATGGTATTTACATATGCATAGACTCCTTCTCGGTTTTCCAGGATCATAACTTGAGTATCATCTGACACAGTAAATGTATTACTAAAAAAGACAAATATGTTTTTAATTAAATTCAATTTTCACTTAAAACATTTCAGTGTGAAATCTTAAGCTTAGAAGAGAAAATGATATATTGCATGATAACTAAAATAAATAGTTTGCTAGACACATTTTATTTATTGGGAATTTAGCATCCAACAATTTTCTGCCTTGCAAGATCTGTATGAATGAATTATGTAGACACTAGATTGGGTACAAACTTTGAAATGTTGTGGTAATCCACTGACATAATCTTGACAGCAAAGTTGTTTTTGTCAAACTGCCCACCTGTGCCATAGGGGATGGTTAACTGGTAAAAATAAAACAACATCAAATTTTGGAGATATACTGTATAGTATATATCTATATATTCCATTGACACATTTCAATTCAAAAAGGTTTTATTGATGACAAATAGCATGCTGAAATTAAAATGTCTATATGAAATCATATTAGATTTCAGAAAGTTACTATTTTGACTGGTGTGAAAACAAACTGATTGATAAACATTGATAAACATTTATGATAACCAAAAATGTGTACATTTAAAGACAACCAAACTAATTTTTTCACCAAGAGAAATTACGGTAAAGTGCCATGAATTTCGAACGGCTCTTGAATTTCGAACGATCTTAAAATCGGCCGTCTGGAGTTTTTTCTGGACCATGAATTTCGGCCAGTAAGCAATTTTGCGCGATCTTCATTTCGTGAATTTCGTACACCTTAAAATCGGCCACCGGGCTATTCTCGCGCTTATAAAGATCTAACAGTCGGCAATGTTGCCCTAGCGTACCTTTACCTGAGTACTACGTGTGCGGCCCAAGGTGCAAGATAACGATCAGTACAGTTAGTTTAGGACGCTAAACAACATCGTCATATCCATTCATTCAGATAACAGGAGAATCATTTAAGAGTTGTACTGTCGGGCTGTTGTTTCTTTACCGCAGTATTCGGTGTGAGATAGCGATCGGTAGTTTTGCTGAGGCGCACAATAGCATTGTTAACAGTAGAGACTTCAGTAACAGAACAAAAGAGCAATATTAAGAGCTGCAATAAAGATTACCATTATTGCTTTCTTGTCTCGCTCAGATCGTTCACGATCTCCCGCTGACGATCTTCCGCTAATGAAGTCCCTTGAAATGTACAAATGAAATGAAAAATATTTTTAAAAATTATAAATTCCAATGGGGAGGGATGGAGGGTTAAAAACAATCAAGAACGATCTCCGGCTGACGATCTGCTGCAAACGAAAGCCACTGAACGAGTATGAGCTTTCTCGTTTCACTCGAATTGCGATGCTGACGATACGAAAATTGTGTTCTCGTCTCGCCCTTTGGCTTACGAAGTCTCTTTAACAAATATGAAAATTGCCTCCTGGTCTCTCGGATTGCGAACGATCTCTCGCTGAAAATTTGAACTTTTCCTTTTTGTCAATCAGCTTTGTCAGTTGCCGTGCGTATAAAGGTCCGGAAGGTGTCCCCTTTCACAAATTGGCCTGTAGTTTACTTAGTGTTTTGTACCGCATGAAGGTCACTCTTGTCACTGCTGCATATGGCGTGGAATGTGTATCTTAAAGTTAAAGTTCATAGAAACATTTTATTGTGTTTTGTAAGCTTTAGGAAGTAGTTTCGTCGTGACTGAATATCAGCGTACACTACAAAGTAGTACCATTCATCTGTGACGCATCATAAAAGCTAGGTACGTCAAATTACTCTAAGAAAATTTCTTACAACGTCCACGGCTGTCCCGACAAGCCAAGACGTCATTAAAAAAAGTTGCAAGCCGTCTAGCCGTCTTTGAAAATATAGTCCGTCCGGTGATGTCAGCGGCCGTCCAAATGACGGCTGGACGGTTCGCTGGGAAAAGCCTTGCTCATTANACCGTAAGTAAAGCAGAACCTACCACAGGTCTGGGTCCTTCTAATTCAGAAAACTCGGCAAGTAGCACAAAATCTTTTTCTATGGGTGATCTCAAGTTCCATGGATCTGGTTTTTCATAAATTGGCAGCAAATCAGGAGCAATGTGTTCTTCTATGGACTCATCTTCTTCATTTGGGTGATAGTAAGCTGCCACATCTGCGTAGCCACCAAACATGGCGTTAAACTAAAAGGACAATAAAAACATGTAACTGACAAGAACTTGAAGCAAATATTCAAATACATCCATTCAACAAAACCTTATCAATTATCAAAAGATTTAATTGAAAATTTGCAGCAGATTATACTTCACTTGTTTTTTTTTCTATTGTAATAAAAGTTCACTGACGGCATAGCCTCCACCAAGTTTCTTCTTCTCTGCTCGCTTCATACTTTTTGAGCTTACAAAACATTAAATGTCATTGTCAGTTGACAGTCTGTTATACATAAATTTGTACATAGAAAGTCCATGCAACTTGAATTAATTGGTTTAGCCCTCTGGTCCAGTTTAAATCTAATGTATGCAAGCCTGGTGCTCAATAAATAGCATATTCAACAAACACAGCTTTTATATATCTGGATATCATATAGTGAAGCATTATATACTCATGTGACATAAATCACATGTTATCACTTTGAACTACACATAAAATGGCCTACAGCAGATATCCTTGTGATAAAAAGATACAATGAAACACACAAACTATGAGGCACAACCTATATTCTTAGATTTGATAGATTTTAAGTATTTTGTTATCATTATAATGATTATTGCAAATGGTTTTACATTCAATTAATATTTTATGGATTTCAAAAGCAGATATCATGATATTTCATGTGAATATTTTCTTTAATTGAGCAGACCATTTCAAGCCTCCAAAACAACACAAAGGATTTTTTAGTTATAACACTTTTTTCACTGAAAAGCACTTAATTTAAAACCCTAAGGCTGTTTAGAATGAGCTAAGTTGCAATAGCTAGCAATAAGATTAACAGACTAACACACCTCCATTGAGCAGAATACAGAAAAGCAGGTGTACATTGGAAACAAAGTGCAAAAGGTTTCAAAAGAAACAAATGGGGAAATAGACAGAAATAAACAGACAAAAATGGGTTGTCCACCATATTTAAAAAGTCAGCACAGGTGTCCAAAGTCTACACATACAAAAAAAAAAAATGCACTTTTTAAGATAAACAAAAAGGTGACTTTGACAAAGCCTGCGAATGTTAACCATCTGGTTGATTTGATTTTATTTGCTTTCTGGTGTCATTTAACAAAGTATATTGGGAATGTTTTGTTAAAGGTAAATCCATCAGACTTTGCTCCATGTGAACTCGTGAAAATGCTATTGCAAAATGCATTTAAAATTGTAGGAAGGTCAATTATAGTACATATGAGAAAACCCTTCTGATACATGTTTTTAACTTTTACTTCCGCATTTTAAAATACTTCTTGGTTATTATTTGAATCTTCATTAATAATAAATACAATAATATATATAAGAAAATTGTTCTGTTTGGACTATGAATTAGCTTAATTGATATTTTGTAGAAATTACAGGCTAAAACATGCTAAAATCATCTGGGTGACGTCATTGTTTTGTTCCTGTGCTTGAAAACTCAAGATAAGCTACTAAAACAGGCTTTTTTGAGTATCAATATGGCAGATTGCCCGAGAATTCATAAACAAATCGTTATGATTTGTAAAGTTGGGTGATCAATATCGTTTACCTAGCAATACATTTCAATTTTATTTCACCCTACTCTTTTTGCAAATGCCCTTTATTAATGTTAAATCACATCTGGAGTAATTTTTTTTTTTCGAGTGTATTGTGTTATATTGCAGTATACTACGTGCATTTATGTATGATGTATGTGCCAGGAACTGTCAAGAGCACAATACTAAGAAGATACTAATAACTTTTTTTGTCCATCAATCATGCTGCTATGCATATACACATCCACTGAAGATCACAATTAATGCACCTCTGTTAATGCAAACAAACTTTCCAATTGTGTTTGAGATCACAAGTGCCAAATTTTAAAAGTAACTTTACAATAAATGAATGTCTGCCCTTTGCATCCCAGTGCTTGGAACCACTAATTTTACATTCAAGCCATGATATTCTGGTTTCAGTCTTTAATTTGGCATTTGCAATCACAAACCCAAGGCTTTGATATTGCAAATATGTAATGCATTTATAAGGCCTGGAGAGGCAGTAACATACTATATATATATATATATATATATATATATATATATATATATATATATATATATATATATATATGTATGTATGTATGTATGTATGTATTCAACAGAACATTCAACACAATCTACAGTCACGTGGGTATAAACGCCACTACAGATATCTATGACTTTTTTTAAAGATATATGGTAACATATGTCACTCAGGTTTTAGCATAAAGACAAGAAAATTCGATGTACGTCTTAAAACTAGATAACACTATAGTTTAATTAAGTCCAGAGTCTAGAAAAAAAAACATTGCAATATTCAGTCTTGTCGACTTACTGAAGTTACTTGCTCTCAGCAACATTGTATAAGTGAACTGCATCAATTTTCAGAACTGGTAACACAATATCTTTGAACATACCTTGATTAGATGCAATCAAAAATTTTGCAAAACATTTCAAATGTAGATAACATGTATTGATAATATTATCTCATCATATCTAACCACATACCACTTCCGCATGCTCTTTAGTGTTAAAAGATCCGTTGTTTGTACACTCAAAGACGGTTTTCGACTATTGTTTTGTTTCGGCTGATTTCTACCAAAAGTAGGTACTATTGTGATTTTATAATCCATATATTAAGGCCACACTTTTTTATTTTTATGGATGACATCCTCTGAGTACCCCAAAATCGGTGCGAGAGGGCGAAAAAAAAAAAAAAACAGTCCAAAAAAAAAAAAACTGCTTAAGTAAAGGAATGCTGTCAGTACACAGCTGGAAACACAAATTTAACCACAGAAACACGTATCAAACTAACAATATGTCTTTATCCATGCTCTCAAAATATTAAAGCATTGTGAATACTTCGTAGAAAGGTAAAAAAAGTCATGAATTGATATACTTCATATTACCAAATCTATTTAAGGTTATTTCATGCATTCATTTGTTATAGCAATCAATAAAACAAATATCAATCAAACAGTGTGTCTTTATTTGTATTCTCAGAATATTAAAACATTTTGAACACTTCACAGAAATGTTTAAAAAATGATGCAAAGATATGCTTAATACTACCAAATCTATTAAAGTTCATTTCAGACGATGCCATTTTGTCAACTTCAACTCACACGAAGCAGCTAAAGTGTCAGGTGGCCTGTCCGACCTTCAGCCCACCAAATACCTCGACGCCCTTGTCGACCCTTTTTTCGCTACAGAAAACCTGGTATTAATGTGCTGCTTTATACAGAATGTCACAGAAATGTTTCGGCCGCCGCCAGCCTTTCGCACAATTGTAAAAAGGTGATATCTCCATGCCCAATATCAATGGCATACCAATCCAAAACGATGGCGCCCGTTCTCTTGATGACTTTTATTGTTGTGTAATTTGAAAGTAATCCTAGAGATGAATTTGACAGCAAAGTGGCCGCATTTCCACGTGGCGAAAATACGCATGCGCAGAAAGCTCATTTCCTTGCAAATTCAATAACAACGTTTGCGTCAACCGACTTCGTTGGGGGCTGGGTGGGGGGGCTTTTTTTTTTTTTTTTTTTTTGAGAACGGGCGAAAATCCGTGCGCGCGCAGGATGTCATCCATAAAATTAAAAAAGTGTGGCCTAAAGAGAATTATAAATTAATTCATTTAGTTATCCTGGTGTTTTTTGTATATATTTTCAACTAGTATAAATATCAGCAAAATATGATGTGAAACTGTCTGAAGAATAAATTAGTGTTTACAGTGTAGTTAAAAACTGGTTGCTATAAAATTAACTTTTTTACTTTCATGTGTAACTCGTGTAGATTTAAGGACAGTCTGGCGATTTCTTGCATGAAAGTATGGCACATTTCACACCGATATTGTAAACGTTTTGAATATATAATATAGTAGCGACCATGACGACCATTGTGTCTATTTATTTGAGCCTTGGCAGTGACACAAGAGGCTACTGAAATTGAAAGTGAAACTTAACTAGAAGTACTTGTAGTATAGTAGGGAAAAGTGGTGCACAGTTGTGTACAAATTTTTGTTATTGAGCAATACTAAAGGGCATTCTATTCTTTTTCAATAAAGATAAAAATTGCTCCTGAAATTAAAATTCTATTTTCACATTTATTTTTGAAGAAATCGGTTTTATTTTAGTGCTGTTCATTTGCCAGACTGAAATCGACTAATTAATTTTGCCTCATCGAAATATTAACAGAGCTTATGTATAATACATTTGATGTGAGTGATAATGTAACTGCAACATGAGCCTCCCAGTTGCAGAGGCTTCATTAACCACTAATAATATTACTTGTATAAGATGTCTACAGTGCATACGCTTACATCCAAATGTGGTGTAACATTTAAAATCATCTTGTTACTGCATTTGGCATGCAGTGTATAGTGCAAATGTTAAGTTAATTGTTTCAGTTTCCTACTGTGTTCGTATGAAAGGTATTTTTTTTTGTAAAGAGTAACATCTACAGGTATTTCTCTACAGCAACTGTACTGTAGTCAAAGATACTACTACATGTTTGAAGATATATGCAATTTATAAATAATTATCTGGATTAGTTAAATGTCACAGGAGATTTATTTTGCCTTGCTCTTTGCAGTATGTTTTCTCTTTAAAATTAGCAGTCATAATCAAGATAAAATTAACATTTTGCTCATTTCAGACTCTTAGATAATGTCAACTGTTAGAAGAGATTTTGGTTCATTTCATTCCTCCAATGTACAAGAACTTTTGGAACTAAAAGATGTAGGTGAACCTTAACTGTGTAAAATTATAGGAAATAAAGGAGCAAAAATGTGAGTCATTGGTCTGATAAATGTCTAGGTTGGCCATAAGCTAACGGTATGAAAAATTTCAGCTTGCATTTTATAATTATTATATGAAACGAGATAAAGGGTTCACCATGCAGAAAATTGACTTAATATTGTAAAATCAATGGACATAATCCAAGATATCCAGCAGTCTTACAAAGTAGCATAACATCAAGTGAGATCTCATGTTTTTAAAATCTGAAAATTTGTCTTTTTAAGGATGATTATCAACTGCCACCATTACCTGTACAAGGACCAAATTTCTTGGACATCAAACCTGACTTGCATTTTGGCAAGTCAATAAAAAATAAATATTTCATTTTGGAAGAGGTAATGAAACTACTGTGAATAAATAAATGGTATTATTATTATTTTGAAAAACTAGACAGATACTGTAGATAACAGGCCTGTAGCCAGGGGGCAGGGGGTAGAAAGAACTGCCCATTTTGTCAGGAAAAGGTATATTCTGGATGAAATTTGATCTAGGAACACAAAGGTTTCGTTGTAATAGGTCCACTTTTTCGGAAAAAGAACCCCCCTTTTGAATTTGCTGGCTACAGGCCTGGACAAAAGTAATTTATTTTCAGTTTGGAGTATGTATTCAATGTGTACTGTATGTGCTTATAAATGATGGTTATGGGTTATGGTGTTTTGTTTTAAAAATGCATTAGAAAGTTTATGAAAGAATAACAATGTGAAACAAAATTTAATTATTTGTTGCTAGGAATGCACTTTCCTGAATCATGGAGCCTTTGGTGCCACACTGAAAGATGCACTGTTAGTAGCACAGGTAACTGAAGAATATATTTTTTGTTTCATTATACAGAAAAAAATAAATAGATGTAAATACAAATTGTTTTTTCAAGAATAATTTTGTTTTCCACTAGTTTCTCAGAGGTCAATTATATTTGTTCTAGAAATGGCAAATGTACACAGAAAAGCAACCTCTGAGATTTTTTGATCGAGAGCTCTTGCCTTTGCTGGTATATGTAACAAGAAGATTGGCTAAATTTGTAGGTATGTAGTCTACCAAGAGTGGAGAAAAATTTTTACTCCTGCCACGTGCATTAGCTGTAGCTTATAGTTTTTGCCTTGCATAGCCTATAAAATTATTTTTTGGTTAATATAAGTATAATGACACTATCTTTTACAGGAAAATGCATCTTTGCATTAATTAAATTGTACATGTCATTGGCATTTATTTATCTGAGTGGCGTGAATAATTTGAAAATTTGCATAAATGTCCTTAAAAATGTGTCACTTACTGTCCCACAGGTTGTGACCCTAGGGACCTCCTACTGGTGCAGAATGCCACTACAGGCATTAACTGTGTTATAAAAAATTTGGGCCTTGGTCCTGGGGATGTGATATTCTCACTGAGTGTAACTTATGGTAATTTTGAATTAAAAACTCATCAGTTGAATCAAACGATAATTTCACCTCTGACTTGACATCAAGAGTGCATTCTAATGCTTTCACTTTGATATTTTAGTTTTCATTTTTTGAAATCATTATTTTTTAGATTTCTTTTGATATCTGAAGATTATCTTTTTACAATTCCCTGGTAACAACATGCTTTGTAGGGACTTTAAAGATGTTCTCAACTTGACAAAATATATGTGTATCTGTACTTCTTTTCATTATAGGTGCAGTTAAGAAACTGTTGAAACATATTTGTGCAGAAACTGGAAGTATTTTACAAGAGGAAACAGTGCAATTTCCCATTACAAGCAGGGACCAGGTGATTAAGGATATTTTTCTGCTTTCATTTTATTGTTGAAATATAGAGTTAATTTGTAATGAGCTAAAAAATAAATCATTGAAATCATTCTTAAAAGAAAACTTGAATATTCTATGGCCTTCAAAAGTATTAATTTGAAGAATAAAGTGAATTTTGTAAAATCTATAACCAGTAGTTCAGTTTTAATTTATTCAGTCATTTTTGTATTTCACAGCTTATTTCGCTTGTTGAAAGCACACTCAGGCCAGAAGTGACTAAACTGGCAGTATTTGATCACATTCCAAGTAACATTCCATTCATAATGCCTATTCAAGAAATTATTGCTATCTGTCATAAGAGGTGAGTTTATCAAACTTTGAATTACAAAATGTGAATATAGGATGTCTTGCATTGCAACATTAAAAGACAATGTTACTTGACAAGTTATGTCCAGTTTTTCTCAAAAAAGCATTATTTTTCAGTGCTACTCTTTCTATCAACTTTATTATTTCTATGTCTGTCCATTTGACAGCCCTGCTAGTTTGGCATTATTTTTCAATGGATTTGAACCCTAAATTTCAGTCTTAGAAAAAATGCGTAAAAAGAAACTGAAATTGAAACCTTCTGAAATATCAGAGCATACAGCTATCAGTTTCTCTTATACTATGGTCACAAGAGACAATAGCCAAATTAAGATGTTTAAACTATAATTTTATTTTTATCTTACCTTCCCTTACAATTACCCTTGTAGTTATGCTCGCTTATATCTCAGTAAATTACTTCATGTCTTACTATAGAGGGGTTCCAGTACTGGTTGATGGAGCACATGCTTTGGGTAGTCTGCCATTGGACATAGCATCTCTTAAACCCGACTACTACATCTCTAATGCACACAAATGGTTCTGCTGTCCTAAGGGATGTGCATTTTTGTATGTAAAAAGGGAGCTTCAGTCTGTGATAAGGCCTTTAGTTATTTCCCATGGATTTGGCTCAGGATTCAATTCAGAATTCATATGGTCAGGTAAACCCCACAACCAGTTTGATCCATTTAATCTGTTGTTATTAATGATAACTAATATAAACAGAAGAGAAAAGTTTATTTCACTTCTTATCTTGTCTTCATAAGATAAAAATATCCTCTTTTTTAATTAAAGGTTTTAATACGATACGTTTAAAGTATGGGAATTATTCAGTATTCTGTATGTAAGTCTGTAAAGTGTAATACATTTTTACAATAGGTCTTAAAGACTACAGTCCATTCTTATCAATGCCCACAGTTATCGATTTCTGGGAGACTGTTGGTCCAGACACTATGAGGAAATATATGTATCAGCTGTGTCATCAAGCAGGTATTTTATATTCTCTTGAGGTAAAATAGCAATTGCGAAGTTATGTAAGATGGTCCATCAACATGCTACAAAAGAAATGCTATGCTTATAACATTACCAGTATATGAATGGGGTTACATGTATTTCTTTATTATACCAGTATTTTCTCTTTTTTTTTGTTTTTTGCAATGTCAAACATACTGTACTTTTTCTGTCATATTTTTGGGTAATATATGTGCTTTATATTTTCTTGTAGAAACTCATATTTTAATTTTCAGCTGAACATTTGGTACATGTTTGGAACACAGACTTGATAGCACCAGCTGATATGTTTGGTAACATTTGTTGGACTGTTCCATTACAGCACAGCATAATATTAGAATTTGTATTTGTTTATTGCATTTCATTTTGTTCAAGATTCTTATATAAAAAGAAGTTATTTTGTTAGAATTTTCACAATACAATCAGGAATCAGTATATTTTCATCATCTGGAAAGAGACATTGTTCATGATAGTGACAGAAATCTCCATGCTGTACGTTTACTATACAGTTACTCATTTTACTGATGACTCAGGCCCGTAGCCAGGGGGGAGGGTTCGGGGGGTTCGAAAGAACCGCCCCTTTTGTCAGGAAAAGGTCCATTTTGGGTAAAATTTGATCTAGGTATACATACGTTTCATTGTAAAAGGTCCACTTTTTCAAAAAAAAAAAAAACAAAAAAAAAAGAACCCCCCCCTTTTGAATTTGCTGGCTACGGGCCTGTGACTGTTATCACAGTTCACTTGTACACACACAGCTGAGTTGTCATTTTTAATAATCAGTTTACAACTATATTAATCAAATATATGGATACTGTAAAATATTCCCTTTGTAGGTTCAATGTCGTTGGTAAGGCTTCCGGACACGCTGTACAACTCTAGCAGCCCTGCCACCTATCAGCAAGCAGAGGTTATTCAAAATAAATTATATTACAAATTTAATATTGAGGTGGGTGCAAGTTGTGTTTTTCATACACTCAATTTTTTTGTTCAAAATCTACAATCCAAATATGATATACATCTTGGTTTTAATTTTTCTAAGAATGAAAGCAACATTTTGTTTTCTAATTTAACTTGTTTGGTTTGGATGGCATTGTACTTTGGATCATTAGCTATTTCTATAATATCTATATCACTTTTTGGAATATTATATTGCTTTAGAACATCTTTAGCCTTTTTGCAATAGGGACAAAATGTTTTAGAATACACCACAACTTACTAAGTAGGTAAGTAAGTTTATTAAGACATGCATGACAACCAAAAGGTTGAAGTTATACATAAAATGGAGTAAGAATAAAATTTACAAATTAAAATATTGATATATAATATAGGATATGCAAATAGAACTTAATGAGATTAAAAAAAAATAAATAAATAAAATAAATAAATAAAATAATTTTTTTTTGCACAGGCATCTGAAAGTTAGTGTAAAAGAGGATGGAGTAATGAAAATTAAATACAATAAAGGCCAAAATGAGTTTCAAAAGTAAAACTCAGACCACTAATGGTTAAATAAAGAGAAAGGAATAAAAGTGTTTTTAAAATGTTCCGTTCTAATTTTTGGTATGTTAAACTTTGACAGGCTATTTCTTAAGGGGCCCACACACGGTGAGCATTTGGCGCACGCCACTTGCGCTGCGCCGTTTTCTCATCGTGTGCGGGGTATTTTGGTGAGATTTTTGCCTCACGCGCGGCTGAGCAAAATTTCTCATGTGTTTGATTTTTTGGGTCTCTTGAGGCAAATGTCTCAGCGTGTGCGGGGTGCAAGCGCCGATTGCTCACGCCATGCTAACAATGCGCATGTGCCAGTAGCCGGAAACAAACAAAAATGGCAGCCCCCAGCGAAGTCAACAAAAACGTACACAGTTATAGTTAGTCTGATTGATTAACGTGGTCATCATTATCCATTACTATCAGAAAAAACAACAATATGTAATGTTTCCTTAATCACATGATCCCACAGTTCGCGGTGCGTCCGATAGGGGCAGGCCAGGAGGCATCTCTGCTGAGCAAAGAGCGCATCGTTTGCGGGGAGTTGAGGAGCGCGAGCATGTGGCGCAGCGCAAATGGCGCGCGCCGAATGCTCACCGTGTGCGGGCCCCTTTAGTCTCCTGTGTGGATTTCAGGTTAAAAGGTAGTTCAGTTTGTCTGTCATTTTGTATTTTTGCAAAAAATGATTTGCAGAGTTCAAATCTGCACTCTTTTAATGTAGTATTTTTTGCTTGGGCTAGAGCATCAACAAGAAAACTTTCTTGCTGCCAATCTTAGTCTTTATCTGATCTGTAATATTAGGCTTGTTTACAATAAAAAACTTAGATATCCATGTGAATTAAGATTTATAACTTGCTTTGAATTTTTTCAGGTGCCTATTAAGGCAGTAGAAGGCATTCTGTATGTCAGGATCTCATCCCATATATACAATACAATTGACGAGTACAAGTACTTGGGAGATGCTGTACTGAAATTGTCAGAAGACTGAAACTACCAGTGCCAGAGTTGATAAAAAGATATTTGTGCAACAGTTATCACATTTCATTTCTGGTAAATTTAAACATGGGCACATAACACTTTAAAAAGAAACTATGACAACATTTCTGTGGAGGTGTGCACCATCAAGTTTTTAATGGTGTACCAGATTGTTGGACAAACCGGTCACCACAGAACAAATACACCATGGACATAATGTCAGGTGCTGCCCCAATGAACAATTAAGTGAACTACCAGTCTGCTGTACCCTAGGTTCTAGATTCCGGTATTGTCAGCTCGATCTTGATTTCATATATAACCCATATCAACAATACTAAAAGCGACTCCATCACAAGGTATATATATTTAACAAGCTAGCTTTTACGTACGTTGCTCTGACACTCAGGGTAGTCTGCTGTTATGTACGTGAGAAATGACAAATGTCAAATAGAGGTCAAGTTTTTTCTTTTGTTGGTTTGTAGTTTTAAAAAACCATTACACCAAAAATTTTCGATGGATTTTGATTTAAGGTTAGGATAGGCCAGAAATAGGCCAATTTAGAATATATTACATTATGGTGGTGATCAACAAAGTAAAATAATGAAAGTTGTGTGTAAATTTGCTTACTCTTTTTTTTTTATTTTTTTTTTTCAGTTCAGACATTTAACATTGAAAGCTAATTTCCAATGTAGCTATTGACATTTAAAAAACGATATTTGATTGGCAGATGCTGGATTTTAGGCCCATCAAGTGCATTTTGTACATGACCTTTACACTCAATAACTCAAGGAATTATTAATAAAATATTTAAAAATGAAAAAAAAAGTTTTTTTGGTGATTTTTGACCATGAAGGTCTCAAAACTATTGGGATTGTTCCTTCTAGTCAAATACACGATTTTGCCCTTCAACAAATTTTACTACAAAACCAGTATAAAGAACAATTTTATTTCAAAGATGTACAGTTGGTTATATCAATTACAATAAATTCAAGTGCAAAGAAACATACTGGAGAAATACAATATGTCAAAATGTTTTGAAATTGTAAACGATAAACCATAATGTGTGAAAAGTTACTACCAAATGCAGATGTGATCCTAACATAGTGGCTCTACCATTTTGACATAACTTTTGAAACCAAGATATGCAAAGAGAAACTTGCATTTTTATAAAAAAAGATTTTAACTAAGATTGCTTATCAATACATTGCAGCAAAAAAGTGAAGGTTTTTGCTCCTGTCCAAAAGTATCGAGTCAAAATCAACTATAAGTGACCATTATCATTCCAAGTTTTCAGAGCTTTCTTTTTTCAACTTTCCCGTGCGAATAAGAAACTCTTCCATTTCTATTTCATTTTTTTCAATTTGCCTAGAAGCTTGATATTGTTTCAATGCTGTAATGCCAGAGAAAACTCCAACAACACCTGCTAAACCACCCAAAACTATAAAGAACGAGCGCATACTGTTGCTTGATGATGCTATTATTTAGTGTTCTTTTCTAAATCGGTATTAATTTCACTGTTTTTCTGTTTGGGTTCACCTCCTTGAGAAGCTTGAGACTTTTCCAGTTCTTGTTGAGCTACAATTCTTTGTATTTCAAAGTACATGGGTTGCCAAGTATAAATAGCACTACCCACAGCCAAAGTCAAAATTACAACAAGATCTCTTTTTGGCATCCGTTGTAATTTTCTCAGAAACCTCTGCATATCTTATACTGTAAAAGAAGGGCGGAAAAAAGCAATATATTAATTCATTTAAAGGTGTGTATGTCTGTGAATTTCAAACTTTTATCCCTATGTGTTTAAAATCACATTAAATCCATTGGTGGTATCTAGTGATCACTGTCTGTGCCCTGAATACCCTGCGGCGTAATTAACTAGCAGCGCGAGCGAGTCGTTTCCAAAGCTGTAATTAATTCTCGGCTGCACTCGGAGGAGATTCTGACGCCTGGACGTATGCGCAGTATATCTCTAAACTGTGGAGTTATGGGCGGCCAAAAGGGCAAAAAATCCTGTCGTCGATTCAGTTATGTTTCGTCGATTCACTGCCTTCCCATCGATTCAGTTTCAAGTTTAAACGATCCTGTCATAAATTCAACATCTACTTTCGTCAATTCAACTGTCAAACATTTCTCATCTATGGTGTATTAAAACCAATGGCGTCACTATTTTCGTCGATCGTGTAACTATTCTCGTTGATCGTCTAATCTCGTCGATCGTCCAACTAATCTCGTCGATCGTGTAACTATTCTCATCGATCGTCTAATCTCGTCGATCGTGTAACTATTCTCATCGATCGTCTATTCTCGTCGATCGTCTCATCGATCGATCGCCAGAGGGCGCTGCGGTAGCACATTGGCCTATCACATGACTATCAAAATGGCAGACAACAAAATGATTGCTAGTGAAATAAGAACATTTTCTCAACAATTTCAATTTTAGTTGTTAATAATTAAAAGACATTCGGTTGTAGGGACATTATTTTCTAGTTGTGCTTAACTCTGACCATGGCTGGCCGAGTTAAAAATTACCGCGTGATTGACAGACAGAAGCACGTGTTGCTACCGCAGCGCCCTCTGGCGATCGATCGATGAGACGATCGATGAGAATAGTTACACGATCGACGAGATTAGACGATCGACGAGAATAGTTACACGATCGACGAAAACAGTTTGACGATCGACGAGATTAGTTACACGATCGACGAAAATAGTGACAGCATTGGTTTTAATACACCATAGATGAGAAATGTTTGACAATTGAATTGACGAAAGTAGATGTTGAATTTATGACAGGATCGTTTAAACTTGAAACTGAATCGATGGGAAGGCAGTGAATCGACGAAACATAACTGAATCGACGACA